TCGGGTTATCATCAGATGAGGGCCAGAGAGGAGGATGCGCAGAAGACCGTGTTTCAGACGCGCTATGGCCATTATGAGTTCGTGGTGATGCCGTTTGGGCTCACCAATGCTCCTGCCGCGTTCATGGACCTCATGAACCACGTATGCAGACCGATGCTGGGTCGGTCTGTGATAGTTTTCATTGACGACATCTTGGTTTATTCCAAGACACAGAAGGAGCATTAGGAGCATCTGAGAGAGGTTTTGGAGACCCTGAGGAGGGAGAGCTTGTATGCCAAGTTCTCAAAGTGCGAGTTTTGGTTGCGTGAGGTGCAATTTCTGAGGACACCTTGTCAACCAGAACGGGATTCTAGTTGACCCGGCCAAGGTCGAGGCCGTGATGAGATGGGAGGTTCCTAAGTCTCCATCCGAGATTCGGAATTTCCTAGGATTAGCAGGATACTATCGGAGATTCATTCAGGATTTCTCCAAGATAGTCGTACCCCTGACACGACTGACGAAGAAAGCCGTGGTCTTTCGGTGGGGACCTGAGCAGCAGGCTGTGTTTGAGACGTTGAGACAGAGATTGTGCGAGGCGCCAATCTTAGCCCTGCCCGAGGGCGTAGAGGATTTTGTGGTATATTGTGATGCGTCGATCTCAGGCCTGGTCGTAGTATTGATGCAGGGGGCATGTCATTGCTTATGCCTCGAGGCAGCTGAAGCCTCATGAGGCGAAATACCCGACGTATGATTTGGAGTTGGGGGCGGTGGTTTTTGCTCTCAAGATTTGGCGTCATTACCTCTACGGGGTTCGTTGTACCATCTACCCGAACCACAAGAGTTTGAGGTACCTTATGGATCATCCGAATCTGAACATGAGGCAGCGTCGATGGTTGGACGTGGTAAAGGATTATGATTGCGAGATCCTTTACCACCCGGGGAAGGCCAATGCGGTGGCCGATGCGCTTAGCCGCAAGGCAGCACCGATCAGGGATGTTTGCATGAGGATGACCGTGGTGACTCCTCTGTTGTAGCAGATTCGAGAGGCCCAACGGGAGGCTATGAAGGAGGAGCATCGAAAGAGTGAGCGAATAGTGGGTCAAGTCACCTCTTTCGATTATGATAGCCGGGGGTTATTGAAACTACATTGTAGGGTGTGGGTGCCGTATCACGGAGGCGTGTGCCAGATCTTGATGGAGGAGGCGCACAAATCCCGATTCTTTATTCACCTAGGGGCGACAAAGATGTATCGGGATCTTCGCCTAGACTATTGGTGGCCCTGCATGAAGCGGGATGTGGCATGGTACGTCGAGCCGTGATTGACCTACAGGAAGATCAAGGCCGAACATTAGAGGCCGCATGGAAAGATGCGATTGTTGGACATCCCGTTGTGGAAATGGGAAGATATCACGATGGATTTTATCATGAAGCTTCCCAGGACCACGCGTGGAGTAGATTCGATTTGGGTCATCGTGGATCGATTGACCAAGAGTGCTCATTTTATTCCGATTCAGGAGAGCATTTCGGCCGAGAAATTGGCCGATATCTATATTAGGGAGATTGTGGCGCGGCACGGGGTGCCAATATCTGTTATCTCGGACAGGGATGTGCGTTTTACTTCCAGGTTTTGGAAGAGGTTTCATGACGAGTTGGGTACTCGTTTGCATTTCAGCACCGCCTTTCACCTGCAGACAGATGGTCAGAACGAGCGGACCATCCAGACTCTGGAGGATATGTTGCGGCCATGTGTGCTAGACTTCGGTGGTAGCTGGGATACTTATCTTCCCTTGGTTGAGTTCTCGTACAACAACAGCTACCACGCGAGTATCGACCGCCCTCCATTCGAGATGTTGTACGGACGGAGGTGTAGGACCCCGACTTGCTGGGGAGAGGTTGGTCAGAGAGTTATGGGGAGCACCGAAGTGGTGCTCAAGACTACCGAGATGATTCAACAGGTTCGGAGCAGGCTGCAGACTGCGCAGAGTCGGCAGAAAAGTTACGCCGACAAGCGTCGATCAGACCTGGAGTTCCAGGTCGGGGATATGGTTCTCCTGAAGGTGTTGCCTTGGAAAGGCGTCATTCGATTAAGGAAGCGAGGCAAGTTGGGCCCGAGATTCATTGGTTCGTTCAGGGTTGTAGCCCAGGTGGGCAAGGTGGCATATAGGATAGATCTGCCAGCTGAGCTCATCCAGATCCACAACACACTTCCATGTCTCCCAGCTGCGGAAGTGTCTCGTGGATGATTCAGCAGTGGTACCATTAGAGGATATACAGGTTGATGACAGCCTGAATTACATTGAGCGCCCAGTCGCAATCCTCGACCAGAAGTCGAAGGATCTGAGGAACAAGAGGGTGGAGTTAGTGAAGGTGCAGTGGCAGCACCGAAAGGGGTCCGAGTGGACTTGGGAGCCGGTGGAAGAAATGATGGAGCATTACCCCGAGTTGTTTTAGGATCGAGCAGCAGACTTTGAGGAAGAAGTCTAAAATAAGTGGGGGAGATTTGTAGCACCTGGTTCCTAGTATGTATTCTTGATTATTAACTCTCCTTCTGTATTTCATTTTAATCTTGGACTCTGCGAGTTGAAGGACTAAGTCGCCGAGTAGAAGCAGGAATAGACACGGGATCAGCTCTGTCTACTCGGCGAGTAGGCCTGTGGGACTCGGCGAGTAGACCCTGTCTGGACTAAAATCCTAACCCGGGTGTTTGCACCCTATTTAAATGATCTAACCCAGCCTCCATTTCCCCTAGCACTCCCAGAGGTCTGTAGAACGAAACCCTAGCCCTTTGTGTCCTTGTAGGTGATCTTTTTAGCATTGTGAAGGTGGTTTGGAGCTTGGGAGAAGAAGGAGAAGGTTAAGGAGTGCAAGAAGAGAAGAAGATCCGGAATGTACTCTGTGAGGGGCTTCTATTCAGGTAGAAAAGTTCCTACCTTGATCTTTAGTTCATTGAACCCCCTTCTTGTCCCTAAAAAGAGGTTTTAAGCCCTAAGAACCTAAATCTCTATGTGTTTATGGTTAATGTTCTGCAAGGACTTCGGATTTGGACCTTTAGGACATCTTAGTAGCATAAAGTCTCTATGGTTGAGGTGATTGAGGTCCCTATTGAGTGTAGGACCACTTAAAGAGCTTGGAATTGCATGTTTGAGCTCATTGGGCCGTGCATGCACGTAAAGTTTGCAACTTTACGTGGTAAACATGCCCTAGGACCATAGATATGTGGTTTTGAAGCATTGCATGTCTCAGATCTGGCCTACTTGGGAAATGGGTCGAGGAACTCGGCGAGTCCCAAAGTGGAACTCGGCGAGTTCTATGAAGATGGTCTTAGACTCGGCGAGTTGGATGAACAACTCGGCGAGTCCTATGAAGATTGCCTGGAGCTCGCCGAGTTGTTCTTCAAACTCGGCGAGTTGCTCGCGGACTCGGCGAGTCGGTACTCGAGTCGGCCCTATAGTCCCAAGTGGTGAGTCAAGGGTGACTCATTGAGTGGGGAGAGGGACTTGGCGAGTAGGACCGGATTAGTAAGGGAAGGACTCGACGAGTTACTCGCGGACTCGGCGAGTCCAGTCAACTGGAAGTTGACTTTGACTTGGATTTCGACTTGGTCAAGGGTAAAAGGGTCATTTTACCCTAAGTACATCTAGCAGTGTTTGACTGATCGTTTTGTGGGAATTATAGCTGGAGGGCGTCCGCAGCAGCAACAGTAGACAGTCAGTTTCCGATCAGATCAGCAGCTACTTTGAGGTGAGTTACCTTCCAGTAGTGGTGGGTCTACGGCCACAATACCGCCCACCAGCAGGAGTTATATGTAGATGATTGTCTCTGTGATATTCATCTAAGGGATTACTACTACCTGTGTTGTATTTATGTGCTAGTGACAGTAAGGGGAGATAATCCCCAAGATATTCGGTCGGTAGGGCCGAAGGGGTAGTCATACCCAACCATGTTAGATAGATTATGATATTGTGATACATGTTATGTGGTAGTAGTAGAGGGGAGAAATAGTTTCCCCAGTATCCGGTCGAGAGGACCGAAGGGGAGGCCAGCACCCAGATATGCTAGGCAGTATCCGGTCGAGAGGACCGAAGGGGAGGCCAACACCCAGATATGGATATTACTTTACAGATGGAATATATCCTTAGTATTCTATATTCGTGAAGGCGTTCCGCCACCCGGTTGAAGAATGAGACAATTTTTTTAAGAGAAGACAAGAAGGAGCACGTAAGGATATGGAACATGCTTTTGGAGTGTTGATGGCGAAGTGACATATAGTCGAACATACAACACGACCATTGGAGTTAGAAACTCTACGATATATCATGTATGCATGTATCATAATGCATAACATGGTAGTAGAAGATAAAGGGCGAAATATTGCACACTATATGCCAACGGAGCCCAGACACGTTCAGTTTCAACCAGGAATATCAGATTATTTGCATCGCGTTGTTGACATTCATGACTCAAATAAACACAGACAACTTCGAGAGGATTTGGCGGATTATATCTTCTTTGGTAACAATAACGATAACGAATAACATTGTATTTTATTTTTTTTTTGAATTTGGATGTTATATACTTTTTTTTTTTTTTTTTTTTTTTTTTTTTTTTTTTTTTTAATTTGGATGTTATGTGTAATTTAGTCTCTAAGTTAATTTTATTCTTTAAAAATTATTATATGTTATTCATAATTTTTAAACATTATGTTTATGTATTATGTTATATTTAAAAAATATTTGTCTAAATTAAAAAAAAATCAAAAATTAAATAAAAAATAAATTATAAAATGGAAAAAAAATGGTGTCGTAAAAAGATACAACATGATGATCATTTTTCCACTTGATGTTATAACACCATTGATGATATGATATATGATTTAACATCAAAATGGTATTATATCTAGTGCTCTAAGATTTCCAAATTAAGGCAAAATAATAAAATCACATCTACAACACAACATCGATCACTTTGAGCAATCAAATGGTCTATAATATAATAAACACACATGCATCATAGACAATGAGTTATTTTGTAAATGCTTGTAGCAGCTGAATCACTTTATCCAAATTAACAATCGATGAACCAAAAGGAGAGGCGCATGCTTTTTTGGCCTTGTTCTTCAAGTCGATTGCATTCTTCCTCAACTCGTTCCCTCTTTCTCCATTCATCAACTCAATGACAAGCTTCGCAACTTCCTCTCTCTTTACATCATTGTCAATCTCCATGGCAACCTCCCACTTGTTGCAACACGACCAACAATTTGTTTGTTGGTCACCAAGATATGGCCAACAAATCATTGGGACTCCACCGGATATACTTTCAATTGTCGAATTCCATCCACTATGTGTTAAAAACCCTCCAATTGATGAATGATTTAGAACTTGTTCTTGTTGGCACCAACTAGCCAACATCCCTCTACTGTTTGTCTCTTCCAAAAACTCTGCTGGAAGAACGGAAGAGTCCCCCTTCACGAGGTCTGGACGTATTATCCATAAGAACGAACAATTGCTTTTAGCAAGTCCCCAACAAAACTCGACTAGGTGTTCATGTGTCATCACTGTGAGGCTACCGAAGTTCACATAAATAACTGAAGATGGTGGTTTAGATTCTAGCCATTTCAAACATTTGTCTTCTTCTTTCCAGAGACTTGAACTGAGTGATGCTACAGATTCATCAACAATTGTCTTCTCTAGTAAATTTAAAGGACCGATTTCATAACATGGAGGAAATATTGAACAAAGCATCTCCAAAAGGTCATGGTCTAGTTCATGAAATGTGTTGACGATGATAGCTGAAGCTCTTTTTGCTCTCTCTACTTGTAAACACAAAAACTCACCCATGTATTCGTCAAAAGAGCTGGCGTTTCTGAAATACGAAGGCATGTCTTTTAGTCGTAAACCAGACATGGTTGGTGCACAATCTATCGGGATATCTAAATACCCATTTACTAAAGTACTCGAATCTGTAGAAAATTGATGAAATTAGAAACTAAAGTGCATACGCACATGAATGTATATATGTACAAACGCATACATCCATACATATATCTGATGTTCGAAGGAAATTGAGTGTATAATTACCTTTACGTGGCATTAAACCTCTCTCTAAAAGACTGGGATACTCATGAATACATATTAGACAACCAACACCGCTGGTCCATAGAACTATCTCGGGGATATCAAATTCGCTGGCCACATCATGGGTGAAGCCCATAACAGCGTCAGCCACTATACAAGTCACCGGAGAAGATGAAGCATTCAGTTTGGTAAGGAGACTTTTAAAGGGACCCATAAAATTTTTATCGAAGGACTTGCATAAGGATTCAACATCTTGCGTGGCATCAGGGTTCTGTGACGGAGGAAGGCCATCGGGAATCGTCTCGAAGCAGAAGGAAGGGAGGCCATGTAGGGCGTCGGAGCCCTGAGATTTGAGGAGCCGTTGATAGTTGAACTCGGTGTTAACGAAGGTTATATGAAAGCCTTTGGAATGGAGGATTTTAGCAACTTTTAGCATGGGGTTAATATGGCCTTGTGCTGGGGCTGGTAAGCACAACGCATGTGGTTTCTTTTGTAAAGAATCCATGGAAGCCTTCTCCATTTTTTTCAAAATTCTGTTGACAGTATGCAGTTAATACATAATGTCTTTCTATTTTTATAGCCACGTGTTAGAAGCAAAACACAAATTTTCTTTGACATAATCTATCAGTCATTACTTAAAGCGACAGTTTTCTTCTATGTCAATTTTGTGGATTTTTTTTGCCAAAATAGAGCACTTAAGTCTTATCCATTTATTTTCCCATAATAGAGTGCAGGGATAGGGTTATGGGCCACCGATTCAATAATGATTAGATGAAGTTACATTAAGGCCCCTTTTAAGTTTCACTTTTACCCTTTTTAACTTATCTATAATTATATAATATTTGTCAAGAGGATATTAATTTGTTTAAAATTATTAGAATTTAGAACAAGTTTTTTAGGAGAGGTGAGAATGTGAAAATAAAATTTAATTAGGTTGTTTGGGAAGTGGTTATTAAACCGGTGGATAAGGGAGTTCTTGGAGCTGGGAGCCTTGATGAGGATTATTCTCTCGAAAATGATGGTGGAGACTAATAAATAAAGACGGTTCCTTTCGGTTCTCTTGCGTTAAATTCATTCATAATCTAAAGCTTGATGGAACCTTGCCTAAAAGAACTTTAAAAGGTGTTTGGTTCAACATTTCTCAAATTTAGATTGAGTTTGAATATAGAAAAATTAATTGGCTGAATCCTTTCAAAAGACTAGTGGGAAAGGGAGAAAACATTTCTTTTGAAAATATGGCTGGTGTGGGGCATTCTTTGAAAGATAGATGTCTTAATCTTTATGCCGTTAAATTAATAAAGATTGCTTAATCATGGATATAGTGATTTTCAGTCCCAGTATGGAAGCTCAACGAAACTGGTTTTGGTCGAGGCAACTGATGAGGGGTCGAGAAGCTAACCAACCTTCTGATTTGATAATTCGTCTTGTGAATTTCCATTTTCAGGTTGCCCGGACAGTTGTACACGGTGAGATGGCAAAAGAGGTGGTGTTGTTGTCAAGTATGTGAGATTGCTGTTGGATATAGATGGAATAACAATTTGTGCTCTTTCAATTGGGTTAAGTGGATTCTTATTAAAATCAATTGTTCTGTGTGAAGATTATTAGAAGATAGGATTCGCACAGTGATTGTCGGTGCCAACAAACTAAATAACCCTAGATATTGCACACAAGATAATGTATAATAAGAAAGTGGATCGAATCCACGGAGACTAGTTCCGTTTGCAAGTTAATAAAAATCTTTCGTATAAATATTTATAAAATAACAATATAACTAAAGAGAGGGTTTTTTTAATAATTTTTGTTGATTTAAGAAACCTAAGTTATATTCAAAAGTTGAAAATTACAATTCAACAAAAATGAGAGTTCGATATAAATCAGTAAGAGAGAAATAGTTGACTTTTCTAACTTCCCATTTTTCAATTTTTTTTTATATTTTTAAATAAGGATAAAATATTGTTTCCCAAAAACAATGTCATGAAAAACATAAGTATCAAATACAATCATTCCAAAATATGAGAGTATCAAAGCACGCAAAATCACATAAACTGTAGGTGAATGTGTACAATCAAACGTTTGTCTTCTCGCGATCATCTGAAGTACATGAAACACAATAAATCAACATATGTATGAACGAATCTTAGTGAGTTCCTGCAAAATACCACATACAGCATATATAACAACACAAAGATGTATCGTGTCTGTAACAACCTCGGGCCTGTATCAACCCCGAGTCCATATTAACTCCGAGCCTAGATCGACTCCCTCTGGTCTGCCTCAACCCCGAGTCCGTAATGACTCCGAACACAGATCAACTCTGTTGGGTGTTAGGTGTTGCATCAATGGGCTGTTTTGTATTTAGTCCAATATGTATACGGTTTGGGCCTGTCCAGCCGTCTTATTAATTAGGGTTTATGTATTTATAGTGCATCGATGCACCGTACGAGGTTAACACTTTTATCTTTGGAAATCTTTGTAAACCCTAATCACGCCTCTATAATTGAAATTCTTCATCAAGTTAAACTCAGGTGTGACTTTTAATCATTCGATATCTATTTGATTATCATTGTGTTTTTGCATTACCTATTTGAACCTTATCGATCTTTTAAATTTTAATCTCATCAATTGGTATCAGAGCAGGAGACTATGTAATGTATACGCATTTCTTCTATCAAAAGAAGTTATTAGGGTTTTTGATAATATTGGATCTTGTTCAGTCGTCATCTCTATGTTCTTGACGTTGTCATTGTAATCTCAATATTACCTTAAGTTTTTAGACGTCCGATTCTTGAATAGGTTTCGAAAATCTTGTTAAAATGTCGCACGACGATTCTCAAATCAATTCAATCAGCAGTATTGGATCAACAACAAGGATTCCCATTCTCTTTCCCAACGACTATGAAGTTTGGGCACTTCACTTTTAAGATTATGTTCTAGGTTTAGAAGATAATGGTTACTTCATCTGGCAAGCAATTACTATTGGAAGTTTTGTTCACTCTGGAACAAGAAGGGAGATTAAAACTCAGACCAACCTTAATTGACTTCTTCTTGATGTCAAAGAAGTTCCTCAAGATGAGAGAGACAAGCTACATAGCAACATCAAAGCAATGAGAACCATTAGATTTGAATTGCAAGCTGATACGTTTCTTCTTGTTAGTTCTTGTGATACCGCCAAAGCCATATGGGCAGGCTTAAACAGCTTTATTCAACAAATGCTGACCTGGAGCATGCTACTCAAACACTCTTGTTGTCTGAATTTGGTGCTTTCGCACGAAAGGCAGATGAAAATCTGAGTCAAACATTGAATAGCTACAATCATCTTTTGAGAAGGATGATTAAGCATGGGATTGGACGAGATATCATCGAGCATAAGGTAACATTCATGAATGTATTAAGGTCGGAGTGGATGGCAGTGGTTTTAACGGTGAAAGCTCAAGAGCAGTTTAGAAATTATACCTTAGCAAAGCTAGTAGGGATCTTGAAATCACACGAAAGTGAAGTGAATAATGAAACAAAAGTTGTGTCAGGCATGGGTACGTTGGCTCTAGTTGCAAAGGGGAAACATGTTGCTGAGGATGATGCTGAGTCTAACCTTTCTGACTGTGAACTCACGAATGAAGAGTTCGCTCTAATGGTGTCGAATCCTAAAAGATTCGCAAAGAAAAAGTTTCCCTCTAATAAAAATCGAAACTGGTAGTGAAGCTATAGTTCCAAAAAGGTGAAAGAGGATAAAGTGAATAGTTTTCAGAAAGAAAAAGATAAGAAAGAGAAAAGGCTTGCTGGTGATTCAGGCTATGATTGCACTTATTATCACGGCAAGAATCACTTGGCTAAGAAATGCATGCTGAGAAGAATGAACAAGAAGAAGGAGGGAGAAGATGATGAGGCGTACCATCTTTGCAAGCTTGAGGAAATCAAGCAGAAAAAGAAAGCTTATAACGTTATGTCTTCTTTTGGTCCGCCACAATTGACAATGCCGAAAAAACTGTAGGTCTATCTGAAAAGACTTCCTGGAGAGTTAAAGGAAGTTATGTATCTGAACCTTTAAATAAGGTTAATGTCACCTACGAAAAGGGAAGTTCCAGTGGACCAAGGATAATCCCACTGATAATTCCTACGTTCAAGAAGACACTCATGTGCGAAAGACAAGGGCAAAAACGAATGCTCACAAATCTGTTGAACAGTTCACAGCACAAAACATCAACGAAATGCCAGGTACAAGAAAAATCTACGGGAACGAAAGAAATTATGGAGGTCAAGGAATCCTAAATATGTTCATCATGAAAAGCGTTTCCATCCTTAGACGAATGTTGGATCAGATGCCAATTCCAAAAGCCAGAAGGCCTATTCACACGCGAATCTGAAGGGCGCCTCACCTTGTCGGTCTAACAGCCCTCCGGATCTGAACCACACAGTTCATCATAGATCCATTGTCTCAAAAACTACCTCTCATTCAAATCATAAATCATCTCCCAAAACCACCTTCGTTTATAAACCAGGAGATTTGCACTCTTCCAAATTCTCGCGACAAGATAAAGGGAAGGTAAAGGTTGCTTCACATTCCTTTAAAATCTAAGGAGGAAGAGAGGAAGTTTGTTTTGAATCAAATAAGAATCAAACAACAACAAAAAAACTAACTTGAAAGATGATCATATTAAGGTCTTCAAAATAAAGAAGAAATATCAAACAAACTTAATAAAATGAACGTATATGATTGAGCTCTCTATTGCTTATCCAGTTACTGAAAAAGGCTCACGGGGACGCAAACACCTTTGGGTTCCTAAATCTGCTTAATTTTTGTAGATTATTTGTGACGAGCAGTTTGATACGGAATGGTATATCGACAGTGACTGTTCGTGTCATATTACAGGAATTAAGGAGGAGCTGAGAGAATACATGGAACTGAATAATGGTGGTTTTGTAAAGTTTGGTAATAATGTACTTGGAGAAATTAAAGGTTATGTCATGATAAATAATGGGGAGTTCTCTATTCGCAAAGTGGCATATGTTGAGGGACTGCAACACAACTTAATAAGTGTTTCGCAATTGGTTGTTGGTATAGGATTAAAGGTATCGTTTGATGATGAAGCTTCTGAAATTATCGAAAAGAAGACGAAAACAGTGCTGCTTAAATCAAAACACAAAGGCGAGATGTATCCATTGAACATGAATTCGATATGAGGGAAGCCTTCTATTTGTCTACTTACTAAGGCTTCCATAGACGATAGTTGGTTGTGTCAGAAGAGACTTTCGCACCTCAATTTCAAAGATATCAACAAGCTAGTTCTTGGTAATCATGTGCGAGGTCTTCCCCTCTTGAAATATGAAAAGGATCATATATGTTAGGGCTGACAATTCTCGACACAACCCGCGACATGACCCACAACACGACACGAAATAAATGGGTTTGGGTTGAGTTTTTCAACCCACCAACCCGTTTATTAAACGGGTCATATAGGGGTTTCTCAAAAAAATATATATTTATTTTTAAAAATATTTATGTATCAAGTATCAATATTTAATAAGTATTATATAATAAGTATTATCTATGTTTGTATTAATGTTTAGTTTGAACTTGTTTATATGAATATTTTTAATTTCCATTTGGATGTTTAAGGCCTAAGTAGTTA